AAATATTTCATTGTCAATTATAACACAAAAAGTAAAATGTATTATACTTAAAAAATCAACTAGCATTACCCATGCTGATGTTAAGTTTCTCTGAGCACAAACATTTACTAAAGACTATTCCTTCTCTAAAATTCAGTGTCAGGGCTTTTTATTTGATTAAAACTAATATTCTGCTAATTGTAATTAGCAATGAGAACCATAAAAATATTTTTTCTTCTTCATTTAAAATAGATATTTTCAGCCCAGCTGTTGTGGCCCAGTTGTTGACCATCAACCTATTAACCAGGAAGTCACAGTTTGATTCCTGGTCAGGGCACATGCCCGGGTTGTGAGCTTGATCCCCAGTGGGGGGCTTGCAGGAAAAAGCCAATCAATAATTCTCTCTCATGACTGATGTTTCTATTTCTCTCTCCATTTATCTTCCTCTCTGAAATCAATACAAATATTTAAATTAAATAAAATAAAACAGATTTCCAGAATATAGACCAACATGCGCTGCTCTGTGCATATTTGTATAGTATCTAAAACTAGAGGCCCTGTTCATGAAATTCATGCACTCAGCAGAGGAGGGGTCCCTAGCCAGTGTGCCCTCTCACACTCCAGGGGGATGTCTGATTGCTGGCTTAGGCCTGGGAGCAGGCCTAAGCCGGCAGTCAGACATCCTTAGCGCTGCCATAGAGAGGCTCCCACCACTGCCACTGTGCTCGCCAGCCATGAGCCTGGCTTAGGGCTTCTGGCTGAGCAGTGCTGCCCCTGTGGGAGCGGACTGACCACCAGGGGGCAATTCCTGCATTGAGTGTTTGTATCCTGGTGGTCAGTGTGTGTCATAGCAACCAGTTGTTCCACTGTTCAGTCAATTTGCATATAATCCTTTCATTATATACTAGAAGACCAGTGCAAAAAATCTGTGCACTAGGGGGGTCCCTCAGCCCAGCCTGTGCCCTCTTGCAGTCTGGGATCCCTCAGGGGATGTCCACCTGCTGGCTTAGGCCTGCTCCCCGGGAGATCAGGCCTAAGCTGGCAGTCAGACATCCCTCTGGCAGCCCGGGAGCCCTCGGGGGATGTCCACTTGCCAGTGGGGAGCAGGCCTAAGCTTCAGTCGGACATCCTTAGCACTGCTGAGGATGAGGGAGAGGCTCCCACAACCAACACTGCGCTGGCATCCATCAGCCTGGCTTGTGGTTGAGCAGAGCTCCCCCTGTGGGAGCACACTGACCACCAGTGGGCAGCTTCTGCATTGAGCGTCTGCCCCCTGGTGGTCAGTGTGTGTCATAGTGATTAGCCATTCCCAGTCATTCTGCTGATAGGGTCAATTTGCATATTACCCTTTTATTATATAGAGTAGAGGCCTGGTGCACAGGTGGACGCTGGCTGGTTTGCCCTGAAGGGTGTCCCGGATCAGGGTGGGGGTTCCCGCTGGCGTGCCTGGCCAGCCTGGGTGAGGGGCTGAGGGCTGTTTTCAGGCTGGCCATGCCCCCAGACAACCAAGCTCCCAGCCTCTCCTTTTGGGCTGGAAGCACGTATCTGGGATTTATTTATCTTCTATAATTGAAACTTTGTAGCCTTGAATGGAGCCAGGGCCAGCCAGGGCAGGCAGGAAGCTTGGCTTCCTACATCAACGGGGGCAACCCAAGCCTCCTGCTTGCTCCAGCTCCGTGGCCGCCGCCATCTTAGTTGGGTTAATTTGCATACTTGCTCCTGATTGGCTGGTGGGCGTGGCTTATGGGTGTGGTGGAGTGGTGGAATGATGGTTAATTTGCATGTTTCTCTTTTATTAGTGTAGGCTAGAGCCTGATGCACAACATTCGTGCACGGGTGGGGTCCCTAGGCTTGGCCGGAGATCAGGGACTATTGGGGCCGTCTCACCAAGTCTCAATTGGTGCCAGGCTGGCTGGGGCCTGCCAGCTGCTGGATGGGCTCTACCTATCAGGGCCTGACAGATTGGGCGAGAGACAGGGAGGGGCCATGGGAGGTTTGCCGGCTTTTGGGAGGCACAGGTGGAGGTTGGCTGGCCATGGGAGGTTGTCTGTGGGAGCAAACTTACCACCTGGGGAAGCTCCTGTGTTGAGCGTCTGCCCCCTAGTTGTCAGTGAACACCATAGCAACTGGTTGACTGGCCGTTTCACTAATTCCAATCATTCTGGTTGTTCAGTAGTAATGGTTGCTTAGGCTTTTATATATAGAGAGAATATTATTTAAGTGTTATGTTTCAATGATACCAAATTATTTAATATTACCATCCTATATAATAAAAGCCTAATATGTTAAGTGCCCGGTTGTCCAGTCATCTGTTCGATCAATCAAAGCATAATATGCTAATGATATGCTAAGGCTGCTTAACCGCTCGCTATGACATGCACTGACCACCAGGGGAAGACAATAGACTGGTTGACCAGTCGCTATGATGTGCACTGACCACCAGGGGGAAGACACTGACTGGTAGGTTAACTTGCTGTTGGGATGCAGCTGATTGGGACTGAGCAAGATGGGTTGGACATGCCCTGGAGCCCTCCTATGGTCCCTTCTTGGCTGGCCAACTTCCCACATCCCTCCCAGGCCCCAATCGTGAATCAGTGTGGTCCCTTGGCCTGGCCTGTGCCCTCTTGCAATCTGGGAACCCTAGGGGGATGTCAAAGAGCTGGTTTCGACCCGATTCCACAGGCCAGGCCGAGAGACCCCACTGGTGCACAAATTTGTGCACCAGGCCTCTAGTATTAGTCATAAAAATTTGTAACTATAAAGTGAGATACCAGTTTAAAAGAACCATTATCATTTTTTCAGTTCTATGTTATTTTTCTTCTCTATAATTTTTTCTTCTACATATTTTCAGCTCTACATATCTTTCTGGCCCTCTTTTTTAAAAGAAAACTATTTAGAAAATGTCACGTGAAATTACAGAATGCTTCAGGAAAATAAAATCTCTTTTCAATTAAATCTTTTGAAAAATATACACATCACACTTTCCAAGTCAAGGCATGAGTTGGTTTTATTGCATTTTATGCTGTGACAAAGTACCATAATTAGTACGTTGGTGTAATTTACCACTGCTTCATTAAAGCTGATTGCCTAACTACCTGGGAAGTCAACACGGCTTCTGGAGTACTTGACCTACCTTATATTTCTACCCTACCCTACAGCTGTTTGTGGGAATTCAACAAAGGCATTTGTTGCAGAAAAAGAAATAATCCAGATAAAGGTTTTAATATAAGAAAAATATGTCCTTTTGTTATTTGCTTACATGGTTCTTTCAATTTTTAGTGGGTTTGATTTTATGATGAGACCTCAATGACTACATAGAGATCTGGTACTCTGTTAATTTTTTACCCATTTATGAAACTAAATCATGTATATTTACTTTATATTATTAATCATTTCTCTTCTTAAAAATCTGACTTAAATTAAAAATTAAAAAAAGAAAAAAAATCCCCCTGCCCACCAATGTTCATGTCCCAACCCCTGAATCCTATGAATATATTACCTTATATGACAAAAGGCGCTTTGCTGTAACTCACCTCATCTCAGGTAAATTGGGTCAAGCATATCAGAAGTAACATATGACAGTAAGTTCACATTGTTTCATTTATCTAATCCAGTGGTCAACAAACTGCGGCTCGCAAGCCACATGCGGCACTTTGGCCCCTTGAGTGTGGCTCTTCCACAAAATACCACGTGTGGGCGCACATGTACAGTGCGATTGAAACTTCGTGGCCCATGCGCAGAAGTCAGCATTTTGTGGAAGAACCACACTCAAGGGGCCAAAGAGCCGCATGTGGCTCACGAGCCACAGTTTGCCGACCACTGATCTAACGAGTAAAATAGGAGATTCTAAATATATTTATAAAGTTCATTAAAGTCCATTAAGTCATATCCATTCTTGATTTTCAGGGTTCTACAAGTTATGCAGAAATAGTGAAGTTCATTTAAATGGCTTGAGGTAGGGATAAGAAAATTTTTTAAAAAATATAAAAACTAAGAGACAAAAGTAGATTAAATGCTGTTGTGTCAATAAGAGTAACTTTCATGATTTCTTCCATTGCAAAAAACAATGTGCATTTTGTCTTTTACTCGCCAACCACCCCACCCCCCAACTAAGTGACAGGAAACATCCATCAGCATGGAACTCATGGTAAAGCATTAGAAGGATCTAGCAAATATTCAAATCTTAATAGGAGAACCAATGCTATGTACCATTACAGAATCAGTGCTTCAGATCAGGAGGCAAACCTATAGATAGCGCATACTACATGCACGCTTGAAATAACGTCAGTACCAATGTAGTCTATAACAGCCTCATCTGAAATGAACATTTAGAAAACAACCAAAAAAACTCATTGTAAATTCTGGGTAAGCGATTTACATTCTGACAGAAGGGTGGGCTGTATGGTGTGCTGCACATTAAGGAACAGTTTTACATTTGTTGCTAAAATTAAAGTGGTTTTCTATTGGACTCACCTGAAGTTAAATTGGCAAAGTAGACCACATTTATCTATATGATTTTTAGATCTTTCTCCAAATCATAAATATGAAAATGAACACTTTGGATTTGGTTGCAAAGGCTATTTGCATTAATATTTGATCCTTCTGGGAAGTTTCTGGTGTTATGGAATCTTCTTTCTAGGCCCTCTATCCCTTGAATAATTCTCAACACTACATGCTCAAAAAAGAGATATCAAAGGAGAAGTAAAAGCCCTGGTAATATTGACATTCCCATCATTCCTGGAAATTTCAGTGTTTATGAATTAAAGGAAAAGTCAGAAGAGAATGTGTCTTGGAAGAGAGGACAGGACAGTAAGGAATGCAATGGACAGCAGTAAGCAGGGAACAATAGCAAAAATACAAATAATAATAATAACTATAATTATTATTCAGCTTTAGAAAAAGACAAAAACAAAAGGAAAAACACCCAACCACTAATCAGACCCCATTACCACGAGCTGTGGTGAAGCAATTAAAATGGAAGGGAATTACATGCAGATGCTCCAAATAAAAATGTAGAATACCTTTCCACTGATGATTTTTAGTTTTCAGGACAAGCGAGACCCAAGCTGCAGACAGAATGGTCCCAGCATGCTTGTTGCCTTTTTTTGTTTGCACAGTAGCTGTCAATTCCAGGCTTGCAGGTAGTGGAACCCAGCAGGAAGAAGGGGCGGGACCCAATGATGCAGACTGAACTGAGAGCAAATTTAAATTACTGAGCCTTTTTTCCCCTTTTTTATTTTTCTACTCTGCGACAAACTGAAAAGATTCCAGCACGCTAATTTAACCACCCTGCTTCTTCTTCTTTACTTTCCCCCCACCCCTGCTTCCAGGATAATTAAAAGAGAAACCTGTAAAGGCAACATTCCTGTGAGCGAGTTGGTGCTGCAACGTGCTGGTAAGAAAACGAATTTAATTTTTAAAAATCTTTTCTTTTGCTTTTTGCTTTTTATTTTTTTAAAAGAGCTGAAGGCTTTGTCTGTCTAATGCAGTCATAAGCGTGGCTTCCCTGCCGTGAGGGGTTAGCATGTAATGAAAAGGTGTAATTGCCTGATATGTGACCTTCGCGTCATACTTATAATGGGTGATAACAGCATTCCTGTGTCCCCTGATGATGCTTCTCTCTGCGAATTGACTAGCTGCCCAGTTGCAACAGGGCTAAGATTGTCACACTGTGGCAATTTGTTGATCTTTTAGGGTTGTCGTTTCAGTGTCCTGTCAGGGAGAATTCTTGAGTTGTCCAAGTTACTTCCTTGCAGGGGTGTTATGGGTTTTAATAGGTGTGTGAGAGACCATAACTGTTTTGTTGTTTACTTATCAAACAGGAAGTGTAATGATGGAACTTTTTTTAAGTTACACTGTATTGTCCAAGACTTCCTGAGTACAGATCATGAAACAGACTAAAGTGAGTGCTGAGTAAAGGTATTTTAATACCTTTCATCTGGAACTAGCCGGGAGCTGATTAGACAGTCAGCTGTGGAGAACCTAGATCATTAGGGACTTTGAACTTGAGATACTAACTTTATTCTTTAAAAGGACTAATTTTAATTCAAGCCAATTAAATCCAACAAGTATTTCTGTACACTCTGCTTGGCACCGGTACTGACAGAGTTCGTGCTGTTGTTCTGTTATGAGGAGAAACTGAAGCTAGATGGTGTAAATTTTCAGAAACTAGCTATTTTTACTACTGTTAAAGCTGATCAAGCCATTTAAGAAACACTTCAAAATGCATGACTGTTGACTATGAGATTAAGTTCAGCAGGTTAAATCTCTTACCATCTATTCCTTTTGTGCATGTAAATTTTGTTGATGTCAATTTGCAACTATGGTCAGTGAATTTTCGACTGCGTTATAATATTATAAAGAAGAAAACAGGAATCTTCTCTTTCTTGCAAACCAAACATGTCATTTGAGAATATATCCATGTGGCAAACTTTTTTTTGAGATTACCCAGATTCTATCTTCATAAGCTAGTAGACACATGGAAAGATTTAGACTTGTCAATAAGTTTGCTTGGATTTGTGTCAAGAATCTTAGGAACAGCCTGGCCAATGTAGACTTATGAACCAGGTCACAGTTAAATTCCCGGTCAAGGCACATGCCTGGGTTTTAGGCTGAGTCCCCAGTAGGAGGCAGCTGATCAATGATTCTCTCTCAGCATTGATGTTTCAATCTCTCTCTCCCTCTCCCTTCTCCTCTTAAATAAATAAAAATAGATTTAAGAAATGAACCTTGGGAACAAAGATTCTCTCTCTCTCTCTCTCTCTCTCTCTCCCTTTAAAAACACATAAAATGTCAAGGGATATTTTCTGTTGTTCTCCAGTGTTTATAAACTATGATAGTTTGGTGTTGCTTTTTAATAGATAATTAAAAATGTAATGGGAGAGCATAAAAATGCAGGTACCAATTGTCCATCAGCAATGTTTTCTGAAGAAAAAGCCTCCTATGAATGTGGGAAGATTGGATGCCATTTGCATCTGATCGAGAATGTGGCATTCCATACACTGGTAAAATCTGACTGCTAGACTCCGTAGCTATTCTAATTGTGTCATTTTTACACTTAACAGCTCTGCACTGTGCTCTCCTCCCCTGAGTCCTCACCAATGCTCCCAGATCGCTTTAAATGTCTAAGAAGACCTTGGAACATTAGAAAGTGTCAATTGTTAGAATAATTTCTGTCTCATACAACAAGAGATAATACTATGGACTTAATAGTTCATTTTTTAAAATCTGTTTTTATCTACCAGTAACTGTCTACTAGGGACATTTCAGTTATAATTGGAATAAATGGTTGCCCAGTAACAAGCAAGTAACTCTGAAGCTACTTTCCATAGAATCAGTGACTAGAAATAGCTACAAAGAGCTAAATGCAAGTCAAATCACAGCACGTTGCTTTAATTTTTTAAAGATTCACTCCAATTTTACCTTTCTACTTAAACTCTTAAATGTTCTACTCAGTTTCTAATTGACCATAATCTCATGTGTGAAGAATAAAGGCCAATAAACCTTTGGGGGAGGGTGTCTTCCTGATTCAAAATAAGAATGAGTGCAGATAAGCAGAACCTCTCAAACTAGGAGTGGTAACAAGATTCCGGGCTAGCAATACCATTATATGTGAAGAACTGCCATCATCTCTTACGGAATGTAATATGAAATTATGGGTTTCACTGTAGGACTCTGTCATTTGAACCAGTAATCAATCCATAATACTATAGATTGCTGCAGTTCTATTCCTTCCCCATTAATAAATATGGAATAACACCAAAGTTACTTTCGTTAGATTTTACCCTATTTTTTCAATAGAAAAGGAACCAGGAATAACCGCAGATTCTGATATCTAAGAATATCAGATTATCGTTTCTTCTTCCCTCGCTGAAGTGCTCTGACATTACAATCTGAAGAGCAAAATCTTTCACACTAGTTCTGCATTTGTCATTTAGCCCTTGTGGCTTTGGGGACTAGTTTTCACCTTCTAATTGCACAGGTGTTGAAACGGAGTATGCCTTATGGAGAGAGTACACAGTTATTTTACACAGACATACAAACAGACAAAATTGCACATGATGCCAGAATGAAAATACAAAGTCACCATAAAAATACAAGTAATGCTTTCTGAAAATATGACACTGAATATTTGCTCAATTTATTATAAATGTATACTGAGTATCAATCATGTTAACCTATGGGAAATTGAAAAATGAAAAAGCCATATATTGCCCATCAAGAGAATGACCATGTAGTAGATAGTCAACTGGTAAATTAAAAAGTATGCTTTAATTAAGTAGCCCATGATGAAAATAGTATTGTTTTAGGCTCTCTGGATCATGAGAAATTAAAACATATTGCTTCTAACCTCTCAGAACTGGCATATTCTTTAATTCCCACCTTTGCTTCAGTTCTTTTTCAATGGCATATGTATTTTCTATTGTGTTTTTTTAAAAAATATTATTGTACAAAGAGTCTTAGTATCTGTATTTTTTTTAATATAAAAGAAAAGAAGCAAGAGGCATTTGCTTCAATATCAGTATATATCCATCCTAATCCCTAATTATCCACGGATATGTTGCTTAATCTTCTTAGGCCTCTGTCTCCTCATCTTTACAAAGAGGAAGTGGCCCCATCCAACAGTAAAATGTTTTTATTCCATCTAGCTGAACATGGGTGACTTTAAAGGAAGATAAAGAGTATGATACTTATGTGGCTTAGTGGGCTTAGTGGTTTAAACAAAGTACAAGGGAATTATCAATGAACGAACTGCAAGTCCTAGCCTCTGCATTTGTGCAGAGTTCATATATGCTTATGCCAGTCCTTGATTTCAATACCTATTCTCTCTATGCTGACGTGGTCATGCTCACAAGACCAGAGAGAAACATTGCAATGGAACAATAATGTATATAAAGAATGAAAATGCTTCCACATGTGAACCAAGAAAATAAAAATAATCTCTCTCTCCTTAAAACTAAAATGTATAGCAATGCTTTTCTTTTTTAATTTATGTAACACTAGAGGCCTGGTGCATGAAATTTGTGCACAGGTAGGGTGCCTAAGCCTGGCCAGCAATCAGGACTAATCAGGTTCCCTGCCTCCCAGCCTCCCCACTTCTTCTTTCCCTCACTCCCTTAGCACCCTGCCATCGCCACTGGTCACCCACCATGTTCCACACTGCCTCTGGTGTTCAGCACACATCATAGCAAGCAGTTGCACTCCCAATCTCCCGCTCGAACTCCCAAGGGGGCACTTTGCATATATTAGCCTTTTATATATATACTAGGGGCCCAGTGCACGAAATACGTGCACTGTGTGTGTGTGTGGGGGGAGTGTCCCTCAGCCCAGCCTGCCCCCTCTCACATACTGGGAGCCCTCAGGCGTTGACCCCCATCACCCTCCAATCACAGGATTGGCCCCTTGGCCAGGCCTGAAGCCTCTGACAGAGGTGTCAGGCTTGGGCAGGGGACCCTCATTTCCCCCCATCACTGGTTCTGCCCCCAGCCCAGGCCTGATGCCTCTGGCCCAGGCGTCAGGCCTGGGAAGGGGAGCCCCAGACCCTTCCGATTGCTGGCTCTGCCCCTTGCTCAGGCCTGATGTCTCGGCCAGAGGCGTAGACCCCCATCACCCTCCGATCGCCTGATCGGCCCCTTGCCCAGGCCTGACACCTCCGCCAGAGGTGTCAGGCTTGGACAGGGGACCCCCATCTCCCCCCGATCACTGGCTCTGATCCCCGCCCAGGCCTGAGGCCTCTGGCCCAGGAATCATGCCTGGGCAGGGGACCCCCATCTCCCTCTGATCGCTTGCTCCACCCCCCGCCCAAGCCTGACACCTCTGACCCAGGCTTCAGGCCTGGGCAAGGGGACCATCATATCCCTCCAATCCCTGGCTCCGCCCCCCACCCAGGCCTGATGCCTCAGCCAGAGGAGTTGACCCTCATCACCCTCTGATCACCAATCACCGGATCGGCCCCTTGACCAGGCCTGAGGCCTCCGACAGAGGTGTCAGGCCTAGCCAGGGGATCCCCAGCTCCCCGTGGTTGCAGGCTCCTCCCCTGCCCGGGCCTAACGCCTCTGGCCTAGGCGTCCGCCTGACACAGCTGCAGCGGCCCCGCGATCGTGGGCTCCGCTTTAGGCCCAGACAAGGGACCCCTAGCTCCCGGTACTGCCAGCTTCGACCGTGCCCAGCTCCAGTCGCTGGCTCCACCTCTACTTCCTGCTAACACTGGCCAGGGCGGCAAAGGCGCCTGATTCTCTGATCAACTGCCATACCCCCACCCCCGCTGGCCTGCTCGCCTCCAACTGCCACTCCTCTGCAGGCCTGTTTTCCCCCAACTGCCCACCCCTTCTGACCTGATCACCCCTAACCACCTCTGCCTTGGCCCTGCCACCATGGCTTTGACTGG